GAACGATCAAAATCAATAATACCTGGGTTGCTGAGATCAATCAACAAGCTAAAGACTGAAGTTGGAAAATTGAAGGAAGAAAATCAAATGTTCAAGTATGATATTGGAAAAATAAAGGAAGAAAAATCAAAACTAAAGTTGTACCTGATATGTAGCTGGGTTTTTTTGGGTTTGTCTTTTTTCTGATGAAGTAGTTCGTCCATGTTTTAGTGGTTTATTTTGTGGTAGATTTGGGAAGATTGCTATGTTTGTGAATGTACTCTTTTGGACATGCAAGTGAATGTATTGTTTTGGTTAGTGGGTAATGAAGTTATTTGTTTCAAACATCCAAATATTTTGGTTCAACTAGACATAGCAGTGATGGGACAAACTGTTAATGCTTAACATAACCAAATAGTAACATAAAGATGCTAAAAAGTAAAGGACAATTATGCATAAACAAAAGAACATCCAAAGTAAATAACCATTGTTTGCACATACCAAATTCTTGTTACATGACCAAAAAAAACATCATTCTAAACGGAGGGTAAAGTTGTCTAAATTATCAAATCAATAAAACAGACACCCAAAAGAACATCACAATGGTTCCCAAAAGTAACACATTACATAGTCTTAATCCAACAAGACAACACATCAATTTCCTCCTTGCCCCTTACATGTTCTTGCATTATGTCCCTTGTTTTTACACTTGCTACAAGTGACAGTAATAAACTTCCTTGTGAGTTTTCCACTGCCCCCTGGACCATGACCATCTATACCACTAACACCAACTGTTTGACTTTGACTTTGAGTTTGGCTCTGACTTTGAGCCTGACTTTGAGATTTTTCCTCCATGGATCTTTGCCTCTTCTTCTTGGGCCTACCAGGCTGATTACGATGTGGAGGAGGGCTGATCTTCATGGGACAATCACTAACAGGCCACATGATACGACCTTTGATTGGTTCTACCTTGTAGGAATAAGCCTCTTTCCAGGTTTCAAGCCAATGCACCTTATGTACATAAGTGTAAAGTTCACCCACATCCACACCATTTTCAGCTTTATCAAATAGGACTGCAATCACATGCCTACAAGGAATTCCTGTTAATTCCCATTTCCTACAGCTGCATACCCTTTGGCCTATGTCAACAACATGTTGATCTTGCCATGGTCCTTGTACTTCATACTTGTCTGAGGAATTCCACCTGGCTATGTAGTTAGAAGCATTTGTTGTGTTTGTTTCCATGATCTTTGTTGCTGTTGGAGTCAATGGACCTACACACTTCTGTTGAACCTTTATCACATTGCAAATCCTCTTCATCATATACTCCCGAATGTACTCTAAGCATGTGATTATTGGTTTATCCCTACCTTCTATCAGTTTACTGTTAAACACTTCACATAGGTTATTCAAAAGCATGTCTATGATTGGTCTACCTGTGAAATGGCTTCTAGCCCAGTGTTGTGGTGGGATCTTCTTCAACCATTCATAAGCTTCTATGTCATATTCACTAAACTCTTTCATCAAACGATTGAATTCTTGCACTGTTGTTGCTTTGGCACAGTTCCATAACTTATCTTTGTACTCAGTAGTTCTCCATCTCTTCCTCATGTTTTCATAGATATGTCTAAGACAAAATCTGTGTTCAGCAACTGGGAACAACTGTGCAATGGCTGGAATTAAGCCTTACAAAGTCATTAAACTGTGGTTAGTATAATACAAGTGTAATAAGAAAACTAAAATACATCAAGGAAATCTATTACCTTTTGTCTATCACTTATGAAAGTGAAGTTTGAAAGTTGTGACAGGTCCAAATCATCTCCCAGGTACTCTAGAAACCATTTCCAACTTTGTGTGTTCTCAGACTCAACAATGGCGTATGCTAATGGGTATATACCATTGTTAGAATCTAAGCCAACTGCAGTCAAGATCTGCCCTGGGTAAGCTCCTTTCATGAAGGCCCCATCTAAACCAATAAAATCCCTTAAGCATGCTTTGAACCCCTTTTTCATTCCACCTAAGAAAATATAAATTCTCTGAAAACATCTCGAAGTTGCATTTACAAGATTTGGTTGTTGAACCAGTTCCAGTTTCACAGTTGTGTCAGGATTTGTGGACTGCAACTCTAATATGTGATCTCTCAGCACATCATATTGTTTTGTGTAATCTCCCATCACATGTTTTTTGGCATCTGCTATAGTCCTAAATACCTTGTCTTTGGAGAAGCTCACCTGATATCTTTTCTGAAGTAGTTCTTGTACAGCTTTGATTGGCACAGTTGGGTTAGATTCCACTAGATCCATAATCTGTTTAGAGATGAAGTTTGTTGTGGCCGTTCTTACCTTTCTTGTATTGAGGCATGAATGTTCAGGTTGGTAGGTTTTCACACACCAACTTTCTTCCTCACTTTTCCTAGATGCTTGTAAAACCCACTGACAAGACAATTCAATACTTGTCTTTGTCTTTTTACTTTTGCCTTTACTTTTCTTCCCAGTGGTAGGTCCATCCACTTGCCCCTCATTGAATACTACTTTTCCTTTGCATGTGGCCCGCAACCTAAGTTTATCATTTTTCTTAATAAAAAGATTCTTCCTGGTTTCCAAGCCATGATGGGCAATTTTGTCTTTCAACTCTTTTTTACTTTTATATATTTTTGTCCTATACGAAATGTTGGTTTATGAACTTCTCCTAAAGAACACCTTTTTCCTTACCTAATTCTTTAATAACCTGTCTTCTCTTCTTGCCCATCTCAGAATCATCATCTGCTGAATCCCATTCATCATTGTCAATAACATCCAACTCTATATCTTCATGCTCCTGATTTCTATCTTTCTCCATGCTATTCCTTAGTCTTTTCTCAAAAAACTCTGCTTCATTGTCAATGCTCATGTGGAAATCCCTCATATCCACTTCAACTTCAGGAATGATATTCTCCTCATCCACCCAATCACTATCCTCACTATCCTCACTGTCATCTTCCTCATCACAGTGACTACCCTCTCCCCTATCAGATACGCTCCCATCTTCTCCATCAGATTTGCTCCCATTATCATGCTCCATTTCAGTCTCCATGTAATCATCCATGTAGTTGTCTATGTAATTATCCATGTAATTATCCAAGTTATCTTCCATGGCAGCCTCATGTCCATGATCCAGTTCCACTTCATCTTGTGCATTTTCTTCTACATCTACTTGTACATGTTCTTCTACTTCATCTTGAACATGTTCTTCCACTTCTACTTGTACATGTTCATGAACATCTGCATTTGATTGTAATATCTTTTGATACAAACCAATATCAAATTCTGTAGTTGCCTCCATAAAGTCATTGGCAATAAGCTCTTTTTGTCTATCATGAACCTCGACATGTAATGGTTGTACCTCAACCTCAACAGGGGATGATCTAGGTGGGCTTGGTAAATCTTGTACCTCAGCTGTGGGGTTTTCATTATCATCATTTTCATCTATTTCATCCATTTGTACAATAGTTACCTTCCTAACAGGTTTAGGATTCATAAAGTAGGTTAGTAACTTTGTCTCACCATGTTCAGTATATACCCTCATGATTTTGTGATCACGCACATATTGGGCAAAAGTTCGTAAATCATCATCATTGCCTAAGGGTTTAAGACCAAAGTGGAAGTCTCCACCATGCACAAGGAAGTGATAGTAAATCACAGGAGGAACACCGTACCTGAACCCTTTCATGATAACATCCAACTCATGAACTGAAAACGTGTCTATATCCACCATGTCAACATAGTTCACACTTCCGTCAATGTATTGAACATCAGGAAACTTGGTGAACTCACCTCCTTGGTATAGCTTGATGGTAAATAATGTTGGGTGGCCATCTTCAAACCAACAACAAAAATAAGTTCAGAAGCATGATTTCACATACAAAAGATGTAATGTACAGAGAAATTACAAAATCCTTACCATAAGCCACCTTTGCGTTGAACGGTTTGTCTAAGAGCCTTATATTCCACATTGGTATGTTCATACACTGAAATAACAGCGATCACAATAAAAAACTCAACTTGGAGATTAGGGCTTCTGGGTAACGAACGAAGATGAAAGTGACAGGAGAGTCAATCGACGAAATGCACAGAGGATTTGGCGGTAGGTATCAATTAATTAGGATGATGAAGTTTAATTTAATAAGATATTAAAAGAATGGGCGTGAATTGACAAAAATACCCTCACACAGACGGAGGGCATAAACGACTGTTAAGCCTTTGGACCAATTCCACAACAAATCAAAGCTTTTGGACCACCGGTGCAACCCCAAAACCTTTTGGACCAAACATCCAATTTTTGACATACCACAGGGACCAAACTTGCAATTTTGTCTATATATATATATATATATATATATATATATATATATATATATATATATATATATATATATATATATATATATATATATATATATATATATGGTGAGGTTCAATAGAGAATTATAATTAATCAAGTAACCAATGAACCAATCTTTTTTTCAACTTCTAGAACTTATTTTTATCAAAAAAAAAAATTAAAAATACAGAAATTCATAACTTTTTATCCTTTTTCCAATGATATCAAATTCGATAAAAAATCGTCAAATTCACAATGTGAATCTTTGAAAATTCACAATGTGAATTTAAATTCACACGGTGAATCTGAAAAATATATTTAACATTCTAAATGTTAAGTTATGAATTTAGATATTTTTAGTTTTTTTTTTCGATAAAAAATAAGCTATAGAACTTAGAAAAAAATATTTGATGCATTGGAGAACCAATAATTATGGTTTTCTATTGAATTTTTCACAACAATAGCTTACTTATTTTCCATTTTATAAACACTAGATAAAAAAAATCCTCAAACTATCCGTCTATCTATATATATGGTTCCACTCCCCAGCCTCAAATCTCTCTCCTCATCCGCACCCATGGTACTCTCCTTCTCTCATCTTTCTACATTATAACACTAAATTTACACTTTTCGCCTTCTATTTTCTTCGTTTTTTTCATTCCATGGCGGACACTCAACCAAAACGCCTAAGAGAAGATGACCAAGAACAAGAACAAGAAGCGATTTTTTCATCTGAAGTGGATATAACTAAGCGCCATAAAAGTTCCTACAACCAAATCCTCTCGATTCTTGACGAAAATACCGAAGAGGAACATCAAGAAACCACTCAAGGTTTGACCGACTGCTTCACAGCTTTGCAACATGAACTATCCTCGTCTGTTCCATTACCGGAACTCATCATTGAATCCGACCAGACTGTAAAAGAAGCTGGATATGACGATAAAGAGATGGTGATTAGACACCTTCTTGAAGCTTCTGATGATGAGCTTGGGATACCCAATAGAGTGGCTGACAGCAACGGAGGTGACGATGAAATTCCTACCGGAGAAGATGGTGGGTTTCCGGTGGCTTTGAGTGATGGGTTATGGGAGCTTGACGATGATGCTGCTAACTATTATACTTTATTTCACTCTGAAGTTATTATGTAGTACAGCAGTAGTTGTTAGTATTGGTTGTTTTGTAGGGGGTTAGAACTTAGAAGGGACGAACGTGATATAGATGGGGGACGTGGAAGTAATAGATGTGGATTCATTCTTAAAATATCCGTTTTGGTCCTTCATCTTTGTAGAAAATGTTAGAAGGTCCTCTAACTTTTTATGAAGCCATTGGAAAGAAAGAACGTGAAAGGACCATTATTTATTTCTCTACTTGGGAATAGATATTTGTTATAACTTGTATTAACTACATCTTTTAAAACCAACGAGGCAATGACTGTGAACGCAAAATTATGAGCTGACAGAATATATGTTTTATACATGTGCTACCATGGCGATTGTGTGTATTGTTCAACAATATGACAAGCATACAAGCATAATTACTAAAAGCATTTATAACGATGAATTCAATGTATGGAAAAGTTGAATGACAGTGATAAGTTTAGATGTCATTCAATGAACGAAATTCTACTATTGTGATATATCACAAATGCATTCAATAGATTTGGAGTTTAATGATCATTGAACTCTTCAATGGAAAGAAATAAAAGTTTTTAATTCATAAATACTATAAATTATTTTTTGTAATATTCAATTGAATTTTGTACCGTTCAATGCATTAATGCAGTAGAAAAAAATATTAAAAGTTTTTTGGATTGTAGAAATATGATTTGACAATCTATTGAACTCAAAGAATTCAATGCATTATGGATGCCTAAATGACATTAGATAATATCTATGTATGCAAAACAATTATTAGTTATGAGAGAGAGAGAGAGAGAGAGAGAGAGAGAGAGAGAGAGAGAGAGAGAGAGAGAGAGAGAGAGAGAGAGAGAGAGTTGAAAACACAAGAATGAATCTGGACCATACACTTTTTCATTACAACTTAAACGTTTTAACGCACCTACACGACGGAAGAGAAAATATTCAAATGTGAATATGCAGTGCCACTACCTCCATTTTTCTCCACCACCACCCCAACCTCCACAACAACCACCGCCACCTCTCACACTAATCGTCACCACCGTCACCACCTCCATTATCTCTATCATCACTACATCTACCACCTCTGCCACCAACCATCATAATTATATATGAATAATCACTTGTCAATAGACAACATATTAATAATTATATATGAATAATAATATATGAATATGCCACACAATATTCATATATAAATATATTAAATTTTATATTTACTTATCAATATTACATATCCCAAGTATGCCGGAATATTTAAGCGACATATTAGCAAATGTGTTAGTCCAAATATATTATGTGATGGGTTCAAATGAAATAAGAGAATTTCTAAGACATGAAGACACATCCTTAACAATCAATTCGGTTGTAAAAAAATATTCTAAAATGCTAAACAAATGAAATCTTTTGAGATTTTTAAAAAAAATATTTTATTCACTTTTTAATCCAAAAACTATATTACTTTAACATTTTAACAGAATATTACTTGTATGTTTATGTATGTGTATTATTCTACGAGAATATATATATATATATATATATATATATATATATATATATATATATATCACGCTGATATTTTTATTTATTTTTAAATATTTTTTTTATTTCTTTTCAAAAAATGGGAAAAGAAAAGTGAGGAATAAAAAAATAAATATTTTTTATTTTGTCATTTTTCTAATTATTCAATTTGTTTTTTATAACAAACAAGTTATTATATGACTGAGATTGAATTCATAACCTCATTATTAAGAACACATTTTTAGACACCATGTTAACCAAATAGGATAGTCCTAACTTGTAACTAGGATTGTGTATTTTTGTGTCAGAAAAAACTCATGATCTCAAATGAAATATTATATATATATATATATATATATATATATATATATATATATATATAGTTAGGTTATTTTGTTTCTTACATCTATTGTATGCCCGTAAACATAATTCTGGACAAATGAATGAATAAAATCAATTGTCATGATCTGAGGGTCTATGATATTACAATAGGGTAACATGTACCATATAATCACACAAATTTCAACTGAAGGGTGTTTTGGTCACTTAACCTATATTTAAAAAGGAAATTTTCATATTTTAAGGGATAATTAATTTTCTTTTTTAAATTTGAATTTTTTTAAATTTGAATTTTTTTAAATTAATTCAAATTTAATTATATTATAATTTCTAATACTAACTGATTTTATTCTGTCAGGATGACAGAGAGTCGAACATAAACTATTAAATATATTTTTGATTTTAATCTTGTAGAATATGATTCATTCAATATATTTTTTATAATTAACATGCTTAAAGATATATTCAACATATATCAAAAATAATATTTTCTGAAGAGTATATATATATATATATATATATATATATATAATATATATATATATATATATATATATATTTGTGTATACTAAATCCCTAAACTTTTTTTTACCTGTTAAAAAAAGAAAACACCACGGTTTTACCGGTTAACTAAACCCATGTGGTTTTTTTTATTTTTCTAAAAAGTTAAATTAATTAATATTATCCAACTCCACACAAAACTCTAACAAACAAAGTCCAGCCCCATTAACTTCGATGGCAATTTCCAACCCTTTTTTTATTTTTAAAAAATTAAAATGGTATAACTTTATTGAGTTAAATGTATCTATCTTGCTTCTTACTTTGAATTTTCTAATTCAGTTTGTCTTATGGGTTCTATTTTGTTATGGTTCATAGATTTGTTCGTTTATAAAAACTTTGATTTCCTGGATTTTCTAAGGTTTAAAGGGTCTTAGGTTTAAGCTTCGAGTTCATCTCGTTTGCTTCTATATGGATCTTCTAAGATCTGGTACAGATAAGGTGTAATAGCCCAAAAATCCAGATAAAATTTTTCAGTTTTAAAATAGTAATTACATTCATAGTTTGTTTCTCAAAACCCACTACATCATATCATATCCAAAATATGAGAGTATCAATATTGATAAATACGGAAAGTGCTGGGAGTGAATGTTGTGCCATCACGTGGGCCCCTTCCCCTTAGTACCGGAAAAACCTAAAAACATCCAAATAAACTGTAAGCAAAAGCTTAATGAGTTCCCAAAATATAACATAACATACAACCACAGAACACATGCCACATACATAAGATTGCCATGGGCGATCCCCATGGTCTTTACCTGAAATGTCATGGGCTACCCCCATGGTCTGATATCCAAGTGACAAGGGCTACCCTTATGGTCTTTACCTGGAATGCCATAGTCTACCCCTATGGTCTGATATCTAAGTGCAATGGGCTACCCCATGGTCTTCACACAAGTGACACGGGCTATCCTCGGGGTCTTCAGACAATTGATTGCATAACAACTGTCAATCCACATGTCAGATAATGGGTCCGCATTGGTGCCTTCAACCCGTTGATATTATGAGAAGACTCACCTCAGACTGCTAATAAAAATACTGCTCGGCTACCGGGTCTGGAAATCTCACACTGAATATACAAAAGTTAACCTAATTAGGATTTAGCCACAAACTAAAAGCATAGGCCAAAACCCTAAGTCCAAACTCCTCCAATAAGGCCCAACAGTCTTTCTCCTCTAATGGGCCAAACATCCAAGGTCCAAAACAATAATGGGCTATAAGGCCCAAAAGGCCCAACCATGCCACCTATGATCCAATAACAAGTTCAAAGGCCCAAATAATCTAATAGATCCAGGCCCAAGGTTAAGTAGGGCCCAAATGGCTCAAAAGCCAACGAAAGCCCAAAACTCACTGGAAGCGTACGCCTAACGCACATCATCAGTACACTTAGCGTACTGGGTACTTTGGCGGTACGCGCAGCGTACAAACTACTTTGCACAGCGTACAAGCTGCTTTGCACAAAGAGCCATTAAGTGCTTAATTCATGTAGCTACTTCGTCCAAATCCATATCTTGGTCATTTTAAAGGTCCTAGGGCATAAAGTTGGCAACTTTAGGCCTTTGCATGCCATATGGGAGCCCGACACCTCATTTTATCCATTAAGACTGATGGGTTTTGAGCATTACCATTCCTATGGTGCACATGCAACCCTAATTGCTTTGGATCTAAGTTTTTCCGTAACATCCGGACTTTTAGGTATATTATTGTGTGATTAATCTTGAGATTCATGGAGTGAATCAGCGAGTTGTGAGTCCAACTCGTCGAGTAGAGTCGAGTGTCCACGTGGGATTAATGAATGGACTCGACGAGTCAGAGAGTCGACTCGCCGAGTAAGTGCTAGGCAGAGAAACCCTAATTCCCCAGGGTTGGGGCCTATATAAGGGAACTTATAGCCCCATTTACGCCTCACCAGTTACCCTACACCCCTGTGAACAAACCCTAATCGCCATTAGAGCTAGAGAGTGAGTGAGGAGCTAATTGGAGTGGTTTGTGCATCCTTTGAAGGAGATTTGGAGAGCTTGGTGTGTTCAATCAAGGAGGGGCTGTAGATCCAGAGTTCTTCAGTGGTTAGCTTCAGTGTAAAGGTAAAAAGCTCCTATCTTGACCTTTCCTTTGTGAGATCTTAGTTTAGGGAGATTTTGAGGGTTTTCTCCCATCCATTCTTAGCAATGAGTTATTTGAGCGTATCTTGAGGTTGAAACCTCAGATCTGGACTGTAGAAGGAATTGAGAGACCAAAGATCCAAGATTTATTGAGTTAGAGACTAGACCTTGAGCACCAAACCCTTGAAGGGCTTTGTATTTGCATTTTTGAGGCATTTATGCCATGCATGAACGTAAAGGTCGAGACTTTATGCGACTTTTGTGTCTTAAAGGGCTAGATCAAGGGTTTGGAACGATAGATCTGACTTTGGACGTCTGAATGGGGAAATCAGATCGAAGGTACTCGTCGAGCCCATAGGCTGACTCGACGAGTCGATGAGGGTTTGTCTCGATAGGCTTGATCATGTGATAACTCGGCCAGTTGGGGGTCACCTCGACGAGCTGAGCTGGACCTTCACAAGACTTCGGAGGATGAGAGTGGACTCGACGAGT